AGGGACGTGCAACTCATCACTGCCTCTGGCCAGGCTGGTTTGGTATCTATAAATGTAAATTCATTTCAGCAATATTGTCGCCTACGTGCTAATGATTCCCGTACTGTCTTTTGACCGAGTTGTAATATCCTATTGGTTCACTTATTGATATGTTAAAGTATTTGGTATTTATTTATTTGTAAGAGAGCTGTAAGTTCATCTTTTTTCAATTTTTGACATGAACGTATTGATTGTTATTTAAACTCAGTAATTTCCTTTATTTCATTTTTAACCCAAGGATCACTTAGTAGTCTACTTTTTAGATGCAAAAATATAGTGTTATTAACTTCTACCTTGCACATGATAAAATAGCCTTCATCTATCTATCTATATCTATATCTATATCTATATCTATATCTATATCTATATATATATATATATATATATATATATACCATTTCATTCCACAGAATTTTGAGGTATATAGTAATGCAGGTAAACTCTAATGAAACAGGAAAATAGAAATAAAAATTAGGTTGGGGAGTATGCATTCTGGCATACATACAGGCTGGGTCCACCTCAGCTCTATTCATTGCTGTTGGCCAGGAGTATTGGGGTTGGTCTGGCAGCTGGTAGAATGGCAGAAGGAAGACTTATGGGGCAGGGAGGGGGAGAGAATTTGATGGAGGAGTGGGTTAGGGACCCACAGGACCTTCTCTGGATCTGGTGATTTGCTAAGAGGACTCAAGGGCTCAGCAACAGGATGCATGACAAAATCAGTGAGGATGCTTCTAGATGAGTCCAACCTCCAGGCTTCAATTTACCCTGGCTTCTGGGTCTTCCAGGCTGAAGCTCAGGACATAAAAAACTCCTTTATGTACAGGACGAGCTGTCCCCATTGTTCCTGCCACTATTTCTGACCTATAGAAACTGTGAGCATAATAATCTTGCTTTTTTTTTTTTTGTCACTGAGTACAAAATGGTCTATTGGTAGCAACAGTAAGAAGAACAGGCTTTCAAAGTCTTTCCTTTGATGTGGAAGGGAGCAGTGAGGGACATGATTCTCTAAAACCCTGGTGCTGCAGGGGTTGCCTGTGGGTCCCTGTGGTCAGTGATTTCTGCCCTTGAAGCACTGTGAACTGGTACACTTTCCCAGAGCAGCTGACACAAGGTAATGGCCCCTGTTGGACTTCATTTCTCTCTGAAGAGGACTCCACTTGTTGATCATGATTCCAACAACCCATGCTTTTGTCGAGGAATAGGTGCCTGTGTGTTTGTCCTGCCTCCCATCCACCTGCGGGAATCTTCTCTCTGGACCCTGGCAACCCGACCTTCCTCCCGTCCAACTCTGAGGGGCGCTCACCTGGACCTCCAGAGCCCACACACCACCCACCTCAGTTCGGCATGTCCCTGACAAGTCAACGGACACAACCCGCCCTGGGTCTCCGAGATGGTGTGGTGGGCCCCTCAGGGGTCAGGCCTGGTGTCCTCAGACCCATTCCCTAGGTGACAGTCAAAGGGGGTGTTTATATGGAAGAGGGAAAGGAGCAGGCAGCACTGGGGCACTGAGTGGGGATGGCAGAGACGACTGGAGGGAGCAGGGGATGTTCTGTTTGAGTCAGGATTGGCCGGACTTTGTTGCCACTGAATGTTGGACATAGCTGCAGTGATGGTGGCTTCTGGGTGACTGGAAAGCTACTTCACAGAACAAAAGCAAGACAAGAATCAGGGAAGGTGAGGTGGCAGGAAACAGTGGGAAGAAGACTCCCACGTGACCAATGACCATCTGTAGGGTGTTCAGGAGACGAGACGGGGATGTGGACACGAGCCCAGACCTGAAGCAGAGCCTCCAGAGGCATCAGTGTCCTGCTGGTAGAGCCTCCAGGAGCAGGGACCCGGGGTTCAGGGAGAGCACACGGTGAGAAGACCAAGAAGCAGAGGAGTGATGTGGCCAGGGGCCTCTGGACACAAAGGAGTCCTTGGCAGAAAAACAAACCGCGAGAGTGAGCGCTCCRTGGAGAAGCCCTCGTGCACCGAGATGCTCCTTGCACCTGGTAGGTGCTCAGAACCTATGTGCTGAGTGGGGAGGCCCCGCAGACGGGCAAGCAGAAGCGGTCCCTGTGACAAGGAAGCACAGGACAAAGGTGAGGAAGAACAATTAAAGGGCAGACGTGTGAAGGAGCAGCTCACTTTAGCTAAGATCTGCTACAGAGCGGCAGACCCACTGGCCTGGCGAACAGAACAGGAGAAGGGCAGCGAGTTCCATCCTAAGGTGTCAGGCAGGCTGTGACAGACTGCAGATGGTGACAGACACACGCTGCATGGTGCAGCCCCAGCTGTTAAGCGGAGGGCAGCCTTCCCGTGAGTGAACGGCACCCCCGCGCTCAGGCCTGGAGTCTTGAGCCCCATCAAGCCTCCTCCAGTGGTCACTGTCAATTGTCTCCTCTTGACCTTTGGAGACCACTCACATAGAGGGGTCCTGCTGCCAGCAGGCTTGTCATGGTAGCTGAGAGCAGAATGCAGAGCTGTGAACAGCTGTGCTGGGGACAATGGGGATGTGATGGACAGTGACAAAGACAGGCCAGCCCAGGAAGAGCCTGGAAGAAAACAGAGGGAAGGCGCACGGGCTGGAGCGGGTCYGGCCATCACACCTGGTGAGGTTTTCTTTTTCCTGGGCACAGGTAGGAGGACTGAAGTCCCCTCCTGTGCCTTGTGGTGCTGATGTGGGAGGCACCAGCAGAGRAGCCTTCTGGAAATAAGAAACTGAGTAACCAGCAGAGGGAAAGAGGCAGGAGGGTACACAGGAAGAACTTGGAAAGAGCAGAGAGAAACCCAGATTCAAGAGTTACGGTCCCAGTCTGCACACTCTCCCCTAAGGCTGAACACTCTTCGAGGTCCTTCTCTGGCCTTCCAGACTAATTTTCCTGGCATGAGTCAAGCACCAGCCTGTGAGTCACCAACTTCAGGAAACATTCTTCAGAATGCCCTAGGGGACCCTTTGAAGAGCCTCTCACTGAATTTGGGTTACAAAGTAAGAATGTCCAAAAACGGAGGTGGGCCTCAGAAAAGTAACACCTCTCCCTTTGGACATCCAAGCGTGTGAGCCTCCTCCAGGTCTTTCCAGCGTGGCCATTCCTTGGTCCCAAGCCTGGGTCACTGGTCTCAAGCTTGTCCTAGGTAAGCACTCCACTCCCACCTCCCAAACCTGCTCTTGTTGCCATTCTTCAAAAGAAATTGCTCCCAAATTTGGAAGACTGATGTAAATCTTGCATTCTGCTCACTGTTTGTAGGTTAGATTTTGGGAAACCTCAGCAGTTTTTTCTTGGAGTCACTTCCGTTGTAGTCAAATACAGGTCAGGATGCAGTGGTCGGWAGGCTTGACCGGCCTGGATGTGGACGATGGCTGAAAGTTGGTGCTGTCAGTAGGAGCACTGCAGGGCCATTGACTGAAATCCCTGTTCCTGCAACTCTGGGCCCTGCTGGTGTGGGGGCGTTGGTTCCAGAGGGAAGAGTGCACAACAGAGAACATGACAGCGGCCTTTTAGCTGCAAGTTCCAACATCAGGCTCCTTTGGAGTCATGTCCAGTGAGCCATCAGGATAAGAAGGCAGTGTACTGGCTGGGCAGCTGGGCYGTCACAGGAAATGGAAAGGCTGCTGCCCACAGAGGGTGGGGGGAGCACAGGAGGAATACAGTGAGATTCAGGTGGTTCCTGGGGCATTTCTTAGTACTTACAAGTGACCCTACGTGGACAACTAAGTAACCCAATGTAGGTGGGATTGACAGTGGCCTAGAAACTGCAGGAATGAAGGTTGGTGCCCACCTGGCCAGAACGATCACCAGCTAAAGTACTTGGGGAGAGAAATAACGGAGAAGGTAGTGAAAGAAAGAAACCATGCACCAGTCCCCAGCTGCAGTCACGTGACCAGCTGCCCAAGGAGAGCTCTGCTGATCCCCAGCCCAACCCGGGGAGTGTGGCCAGGCATCCCACAGGCAGCAGCCAAACCCAGGCAAGTTTTAGCGGAGGGAGTAGTTTCCACGGATCTTCCTGAAGTCCCTGGACACCGTCCTGCTTCAGCAGCTCAGGTTCTGCAAGCTCCGATTGTCACCTACACTAGGTTTCTTCCCCCAGTTCTCCACTCACTCCCAGCTTGACTGGAGCAATTTCCCCTGTGGTATATGATGAACGTTGCATCCATAGTGTTCTCAACAGAGAAGAAGAAAGGATATCCAATCAGAAGGAAGTAGAGCAGGAAGGGATGATGGGGAGGAAGAAGGTGAAGAAAAAGGAAAAAGGGAGAAAAGCCATCAAGCAAGCAGGGGAGGAGGGGGCAGGAGGAGGGGCAGGAGGAGGAGCAGGGCCCCGAGCACGGGAGGCGCTGCACTAGGTGCTGATCTTGAGACACCCGACGGGACGAGGATCACCACCACTGGTCACAGATGAAGCCACTAGGCTGGGGGATGGGAGAACTTGTTGAARGTCTTTACAGAGTGACTCAGCTGGAACCCCGATACAGGGCATCTAATGTCAGAACTCACATTCCTGCCCTGTCAGCGAGCCACCAGAGAAAGCAGACATGTCAGGAGAAGAGATACTGAAACACTGTTTAAAACTGCTTTAAAGCATTCTAATTGAGTCTGGAATTACAGCTCTAACTTCTGAGCTTGGCCGGTTTGGTGAATCTAATAATCTAATAATCAGTCCTTCCACCTATGACTATTGTATAAGCAGGTACTTGGTGACCTATTATCAACATTTTAYGTAAAAATCCTATCTTTTCACTTAATTTTTCACTAGAAAGTCCCTTATTATAGACAAAGAATGAGTTACAGCATATTTAAGATATTCATTTTAATTTTAAACTTGCTTAAGAATACTACTGTACAAAGTAGGAGTTGAAACACAGGAGTGGCAAAATGAAAGGTAGTTCTGTGTTTACCCATAAATGACGGCCATTGACTCTCTGCCCTGAGCAAAGGGGGCCTGGCATGTCATAGCCAATGACCGTGCAGCCTGATGTTTCACATCAGCGGAGGCACTTCAGGGTTATCTTCAAAGTATGCGTCTTCCTCACTTGGCACGCCTTTGTGTTCAGATGCCAGTCTTCTGGGCCTGTGGCTTTTCTCTTGAACTATGGTAGTCACATCAGGGTAGGAATGCTTGCTAGGATCTACTTCTAGTTTCTCAGCTTGCTTGCTTCTACAACAAAAAAGGCAAAGGGAAATTAATATCACACCATTTATAATCAAGTTTTGAATAGAGTCAACTTGTTTTTCAGCAAACATTAGCAAGTCGTATCTATGTAGCACAGGGATGAAAACAAGATACTGTCCTCGGCTTCGAGTAGCAGAGGGCCTTGTGGAAGCGCAGTTCTGGCCCATGAGAAAATAAAGTGCTCAGAGGCATTGCAGAGCTGTGCTGGTGCACAGGTATCTGAAGGAGGGGTCACCTGGGAGGCTCTGCTGGCCTAAAGATTTGTGATAGTTGAAGTGAGAGACCTGGCAGAGTCCCACAGCCAGGATCCAACAGGTCTCACTCCTAAATGCAGCCAGTCAGGTTGCCAGAGCTTGCTGCCTTTCACAATCCAGCCTGTCGGGCTTCAGCAGGGGCATTTGGACTGAGGTTCAGTTGCACAGCAAATAGTCCACTAACCTCCTCTCCCATGAGAACCTGCTCCTGCTGTGTCCACCCAGTTCTCTCAGCAACAGCACAAATGAATCAGAACCAGGAAGAACCTGCACTGCCCAGTGATTCCCAAAGTCTTTGTCATACAGGAAACTGAGACATGTCCTGGGTCACTTTCCTGGCAAYTGTTAGTCAATAGGCCTAGAGTTGGGCCCAGTGATAAGTATTTTTATAAAGTCTCCCTAGTGGTTTTTGATACTCAGCCAAATTATTTTGGAATCACTAGCCCATTCATTTATTCATCCAACAGGTATATGTTAAGCACCACTATGGCAGGCACCAGGGAATCCAGTCTGTGCAGAGAGACAAGGTCCCTGGTAGTACCTCATTTTGCTCTAACACAGAATTTGCTGTAGAATCACATTACTGTCTCGTGATGGCCTGCCTTTGAGCAAGGTTTTCTCTTGTTCATCTTGTATCCCTAACATACAGGTGCATTATGTCAGTACGTGCCGAGTAAKCGAAACTGTTACTGTTCTATTGGAGGAATAATGAATCAGGTAATAAATGCTCTCTGAACTGAAGAAAGTAACAGTCAGTCCTATGTGAGAGCTCCACACTCGTGCTCCCAGACTCAATCCACCCAGCAGAAGCCTTCTGTTGGGAAGAAGAAGGTCAGGTTCACCTTTCACCCCTCCCCCTCATGCTCGTGCTCTGCTCAGCACTTTCAGGCATCTGAGTTTTTAATCCCTTTAAGTATATTTACAAACACATRTGGATCTGCTGAGGAAAGTACAAAGTAGTCAAAGTATATAAACTAGTGTCTTTTACACCCTCCAATTGCACACTATACACCATTGTTCCACAGGAGAAGGGAGAAGTCACAAATGGGCTGTGTGTTCTCTGAGGAGGTGGGAGGGGTGGGATCCGAAGGGGCCGTGAAAGATGCCCAAGGATGCAGCCCAGCAGCAAAGGGGAATGGCTGCTCCACCTACGTGGCTGGAGCACGGGCAGCCCCTGGACGCAGCTTCTTCCCAGATGCCTGTGTGCTGTGGTATTCGGTGGCTTCTTCAATAGGTTGCCAGTCAGCCATGAATGGGTGAGCAGAGAAAAGACAGTGAAAGGGATTGAGAACCCAGGGAGCCCCATAGGACAGGTGAGCACCTGGAAGACGGGTCCCCCAGTCAGAGCTGCATCCCTCATGTCGCACACTACCCGGTGGCCTGGACCCTCCCCAGCACTGAAACTGTGTCACAACTCCCAATCACCCTGGCAACTAAAACATCAAGACCCTAACAGATAAACTTACTGGAGGTTATTCAAAGGGTGATAAACTGATTGAAGGGGCAGGAAATTGAAGCAAAACCAGGGGGACTCAATTTCTTAAAATTCCCAATTCTGTGACCACCACCCCGTCCTCTCCTGGAGGCAGTCCATGCAGTACCTTTGCTCAGTCAGAGGTCAAAACATGGATCTGGGCGGGACTCTCTGAGAACTACACCGGGCCCCTGCCCACCCCCCATAAAACTGGGAGGGCAGGAGGGGGTGCCAGCAGCCCTGTCCTCTCTGAGAGGACCCACCCTCTCCCTTGGGACTGTCCTCTTCTCCCCTTTCCTATCTCTTCTAATACACTCCATCTTGTTATTCTGAACAACATGTCTGAAATCTTTATGGCGTGATCACAAGAATCGGGATTTGAAGAGGGAGTCTTCATGCTGCCTCCGTTGTGTGGAGGTCTCTGACCTGTGGGAATTGCAGCTATGAAACTGCTCAGAAAACTAGGGTGCCAATAGGACTGTCCACAGTGGAGTGTCAGAGGAGGAGGAGGACACCGTTGGAGATGGAATAGAGGCGATTCATGTCATATTCCGGCGAAGAACTTGTCTGCATTTTGCCCAYGTTCTGAGACTTTCTATGAGGCTGAATTTACAGGTAATGGGCTAATTTATCTTGTGAAGAAAATTTCAAGGCAGCAACATGCTATCAGGTGGTAGCATGGATATTGCTGGGGGCTCTTTGTTAAGTTTATTATGATAATCAGGAGCAGAAAGCAGAGCAGAAATTTTGAAAAACTTGCAATTTGGCCAAAAAATTGCATGTAAACCTGTGGCTAAGGAAGATGTGGTTGTTGAAGAGATTACAGAAASGAAAGAAAGGCTAAGTGCTTTTCACAAAAACAAKAGGAAAGATGGCTTTGATGGCATCTCAGGTTCCAGGTTGTAAAAGTGAAAAYAGCTTTGAGAAGAGACCAAGGGGGCATACTGCTTCAATAGCAAGGCCACACCGTGGTGACCGTCTCCTTGGGCACTCAGAGGCTGCAGCCACGGTCCCAAGAGGCTTAGCTACTGCTGGAGATGGGGGCAAGCTTTGGCATCAACCACGAGGGGCTGGTTCTTCAGGAACACAGAATGCCGGAGTTGGGGATTCATGGAGGCTTCCACTGAGACTTCAAAGTGAAGTGTGGGAGGCCAGGCAAAGCACACAGACTCAGAGCCCCTGAAGGCTGCCTCCTTAAAAGTGTCCTTGTCAGGTCTTTTAGCCACAGCAGTGGAAAAGCTGACTAAAATACCCCCCACTCCCCCCCCCCCAATACCAGTGCTTGGGGATGCATATCTGCTGACAAGGAGCCTGTCCTGATCCTCTCGGTACAGACTGCACACACAGACTGAATATCACAGTGCCCTCACAAAAGTATACAATTACTAAGATGTGTTAATTAAAAAGGAAAGTAAAATTTAACTGATTGTCTTTTATTAAAAAAAAAAGTTGAAAAATTTTAAAAAGGAATATGTATCATGTAAAAATCTGAAAATAAAATGAAATTCTAGTGCCCAAAAAATTTTGTTGGAACACATATACAAAGAAACTACCACAACTCATAGGCTTAAAACAATATGCATGTATTTTCTTAGTCACGTAGGTCAGAAGTCTGACATGGGTCTCCCTGGGCTAAAGTCAAGGTTCTAGGATGGCCTTCTTTGTGGAGGTTCTAGGGCTCAACTGCTTCCTGARCCTTTCCAGCTTCTAGAGGCCACCCACCTTCCCTGGCTTGGGACCCCTTCCATCTTCAAAGCAGCAGTGCACATAAAAAGTCGAGTCTGCCTCACGCTGCGTCTCTCTGGCTCTGGCTCTCCTGCCTCCCCTCTTTCACTGATAAGGGACCTGTGGTTACACTGGGCCTACTGCATCCTCCAGGGCACTCTCCCTATTGTCAGGTCATCTGGTAGTATCTGCCACCTGAATTTCCCCTGGACACATAAGATTTCCTATTCACAGGCTCTGGGTATTAGGACAGGTCCATCTTGAAGGCCCACAACTTTGCCTACCATGCATCCCCCGGGCACCTGCCCCTGGAGGTTGCTGATGAGAGGATTTGCCACTGAAGCTGCAGGATTCCCCTGCAGCCTGAGAGGAAAGGCTAAACTGGGTGGGCCTTGATTGCCCAGCGACTGGACCACCCACAAGACCACCTACTTCCACAGGAGATGTTATTTGGGGTAATTAAACATCTTAAATTTTAAAATCCATCTTACATATTCCATTACCTGTAGCCACAACAACCTAACTAAGTCAAGTCAGGAAAAAAAGTTGGGTTGGTTGGAGGCTTTCCAGAGAACTACTATCCTGAATGGGACAACTCATAGCAAAAAATAATCTCAGGGCAAAGGGCACTTTGCATGAGAAGAAGGAGAAGAAACAAGAATGGAAATAGAAAAACACAAAACCTTCTGATACTAGCAAATGAAAGCATGGATCATAAAACCACTTTTGCTAACTTTCAACTATATTAGACTTAGTAATATAAYGACAAAAACTCCCCTCAGGAACTGGCAGTAAGACTAAGGTGCTGGAAATAAGTTTTCTATTTAACATTATTATGGGGTCTTTCCCTMTGTGATAAGGCACGAAAAATAAAAGGGAACATGATTGGGAAGRAAGAAAGGGATCATCTTCATGGGTATATAGAAAATCTAAAAGAACCCTCACATGAATTAATGAAATAGTAAGAGAGATAAGTTRTTGGATACTAAATCAAACATAAAATTGAATTACATAGTGCTGATGACCACACAAAATTTTGACCAAAATAAATATAATTGAATTTATATTTTCAGTGGTTTTTAAAACAGTCAGTTTGATGTTGTGTGTATTTTATCATATAATAAACAAAGCAATAAAGAAATAAAATTATGAGTCTACATACTAGCAACATGCAATAAATAAAATAAAATGTATTTATACCAGTATCAAAAATATCATACACCACCAGGTGCAGTGGGGCATGCCTATAATCCCAATGGCTTGGAAGGCTGAGGCAGGAGGATTGTGAGTTCAAAGCCAACCTCAGCAATAGCAAGGCACTAAGCAACGCAGTGAGACCTTGTCTCTAAATAGAATTCAATCCCTGGTTACCCTGGCAAAAAAAAAAAAAAAAAAAAAAAAAAAAAAAAAATCACACATCTAAAAATTAATAAAACATGGGTACCCTTATAAAAAATTATAAAATTTTAGAGTGACATCAAATACAAATTAGAAAAAGACAGATACTAATATTATAAAATTTTTCACCCTAAATTGATCTATGCCTCCAATTCAAAATAAATCCCTATACATGTGTATGAGRGAGTGAGTGTGCATGTGGTATGCTCTGGATGTGGTTTGTCCCCTCACCTGTCACAGGCTGGTTGGGAGTCTGGTTYCAGTGTGGCTCTGTGGGAGCTTAAGGAACCTAGGGGAGGTCCTTAGGTGACGAGGGCATGCTGCACACAGACTGGAATGCGGGTCTTCCAGTGMAGAAATGGTCTTAAAAGCCCGAATCTGAGGTCTGATTCTCTCTGGCTTCCTGTGTGGGAATGTGGTTCTTCCTCACACATGTGCCTACCTCACGATGTGGCACAGCCAGGAGGGTTCTTGCCAGAGCAGAGCCGATGCCAGCATCRTGACCTTAAGTCTTTAAAACCATGAACTAAATACAGTGTGTAAAGTTATCTTGCTTCAGTTTTCTCATTGTAGTAATGCAAAATAGACAACGTAATTCATGTGTGAAACTCGGCAAGTTGATTCTAAAATTTMTRTGGAAGTGCAAAGGGCCAAGAATAGCCAACTTGCTCTTGAAGAATAAAGGAAGAAGATGTTTCTCACCATTTACACAGACTTATTATAAAGCTGTGGAATTTAAGGAAGTGGAATAGAGAGAGAACAATCAGACCAACCCACACATGAATGCTAGATCTTTGACACAGATAGCCTTGGTGACCAGTACAGAGGGATAAATTTTAACAAGAAACAATGAGACAGAAAGGTGTCCATACTGGAAAAAGTAAGAGGACATACTTTAAGCAAAAATGAGTTCTTGACAGATCATACATAAACATGAAAGGCAAAACCACAAGGCCTTACAACACAAGGAACCATCTTTTTGACCTCAAGGWRGGRCAGGACTTCTACAAGAAGACAAAGTACCAATCATGAAAATGTTAAAATTTTGATTACTCTAGAATAAAGATCTTCTTGTTCACCAAAAGATGCCATGTTGAGAATAAGTGGGCAGCCCAAGTCTCACGTCCTGGTCCTGCCATTCTCCAACTGCATGATCTTGGGCAAGTTCGCCCTCCCTGAACCTCACTAATTATGTACTAGCATTGCTATTTTGAAGATCAAAGACAATGAGACGATGTGTAGCACCAGGTAACACAGCGTCACCACTCAATAGATACCTGAAGTTTTGTGGAGTTGCATCTGTTCCCTGGCATTAAAGTGACATGGGACCACAAGAGTTCTCTAGAAGTCACCCTCCAGTTTTGACGAGCAGAACCCTGCCCCATGGGTCCTTTCCACCCACTCTACCTCCACAGCTGGAAACAGGCCACTCCAGTAGGAGAAGGTCAAGGCCTCTTGCRGCCCCCTCTGCACCTGCATACAGGCTTCACAGGCAGCCGTTTGGTTAATGGCGATGCCCAGCCAGACATGATGGGCACAACACAGTGAAAAGGTGCACAAAGAAGCTGGGAGCAGTGGTGCACGCCTGTAATCCCAGCACCTCGGGAGGCTGAAGCAGGAGCATSGCGAGTTCAAAGCCAGCCTTAGCAACAGTGAGGCACTAAGCAACTCAGTGAAACCCTGTCTCTAAAGAAATAAAATACAAAATAGGGTCAGGGATGTGGCTCAGTGGTTGAGTGCCCTTGAGTTCAATCCCCAGTACCAAGGGAAAAAAAAAGTGCAACAAGATTGTGCAACGTTTAGGGAGTCCCACAAACAACCTTCACAGAGATGTTTTATGTATGGTTATGAGGGAAGCACTCCTCAGTAATGAAAATGAAAAAGAAAGACTCTGCAAATATTCAACCATATACAACTGTGCTAAGATACCTCCAACCCTCAAGTGTAATCACGGTAATGATAGTTTTCCTGGGRTCTGAAAACCAGCTCCAAACTGTTTGCAATGATTTGGCTTCCCATCCCTGTGATTCCTCACAAATTAGATTCAGACTCTTTACATGTGTCAAGGGTGCTGGGGGTTAATTGCCACTGTGAATATTCATAATAGCCATGATACCCTGGAATCTTGTATCTGCAATGGAAATCACTAAGTTGGGAAATATGAGTGATTCCCGTGGTTAAAAACAGCAACCCACTTTTCAGTAGGAATTCAATTCCATACCTGTCGTTCAAATAAATCCCATGTTTAAAAATCTCTACAACAGTTCAACTTCAACAGTTGTCTTTGAATATACAAGTGTCTAATTTATTATGCAAAACATAAATATAGCTCTTGTTCAGGTATTTTTATGATGGTAGTTCTAGCATATACATTTGTGTCACAAAGATAGTTTGCCTTGGTTCAAAATAGATTTTACCATCTGGATGGGAAGAGTCTGAAAATCMCAAGAATAGGAGAGCTGGAAGAGCAGGGACCTCTTTCTAAAGGAGAACTGAGAAACGGGAGAGCCGTGCGTGAGATGCTTTGCAGGCTGCCATGTTCCAGGGAGGTTGGCATTGCTCTCGAGTGTTCCGGGAGGCAGAGCCAGGATCCCCACTTAGGAATCCAAGGGAGGCAGAGAGGCTTTCTAACTCTGGGGAACACTAAGGATGTAGAATATTCTCAAGAGAGAGGGAGARTCCAGCTGGGAGATGAGTTGAAGCCCAGGCCAAAGATGACCTACAGCGGGGAGATGGACAGGAGGGYGGTCACGGGGACTGTATACCACGCAGTCCTCAGAGTCATGAAGTCTCAGGTGACAAGTGGATCATAAAAGAGAGGCAGTGGGAGCAGCAGTACCAGCAGGGGTCCTGAGAGTCGCCTCAGTCGGTCATGGCTACATGACCCCAGGGTGCTGGTGATTTCTCTCTCCCTCAGCTTCCCCTCCGTACAGCAAAGGTAAAGCCTGTGAGTTAAATGTGTTGATGTGGGGAGTGCACCCAGAAAAGTGCCTGGCCCAGAGCTGTGTCCAGTCAATGCCCGCAGTCTTGGGTTTTTAGGGTTCACAAGCCCAACAAATCCAGAGTGTAAGGACTTGGGGACAAACATGAGCATTCATGGTATGAATTGTTTTTAAACTTTAAATAATTGTATCACCTTAGGAGCTGCATTTTAACCAACAAATGACAATGAAGAATGCCACATAATAACACTAGGGACGGCCAGGGAAGTGGTACCTTTCCTTGGTTTGCTCTCTGGGGCTGTTCGAGGTGGCTTTCACAGGCTTGGATGTTCGTCCTCTGATTACTTCTTCTACCTAAAATAAAAGCACAACACGTAACAAGTGATGAGTTACTCCCTGGTGTACCTTCAAAAATATATATTTATTTTTTTAAAAAGATGCTAAAAGCTTCTCATTCTTTTTTACATATCCCACATTAAAGCCTTTATACAAAGTCTAGAGAGGATCACATCACAAATTGGATGTGTTCACCACAGCCACACAGCCATAAGCTAGCCAACTATTGCCAAAGCCAAGAATGGGATTTGGTGAATTAGCTTAATAAACATTATCTGGGAGCCAACAGCATGCTACCACTTGAGAGTCTTGGGGACACTGAGGTACCTGGATGCTGCCCACACAGTGCCCCCAGGGAAGAGTGCTGCAGCGTGGGAAGCCCCTTAACAGGAAGCTGGACTCCCCATCGTCCTGGCTCCCTGGACCTGGTCTCTGGTAAAATGATGAGGGAATTTTTGTGGTCTCAAAGGTCCCTTCTGGGTCTAAAAATGTCTGTACTTCAACTGCTTCTTTTAAACTAAATAAGTTCAGTGCTAAGCACCTGGAGCCCTCAATAGTAAAAGTGATTGATTCCATTCAGCTAACACCCCACCCACATTACTCAGAACCAGGCTGCTCCCCAAGAAACCCATCAGATACCCGAGTGTGGACGGGGAGAGAATCTGCTAGTACTTATCAGACATGCTAGGCACACGCCTCCAACACTAGGTACACTATGTGTCTTATTTACACACACACACAGCCCTGCTGATCTCCCAGAAACACTCCTGAAAGATCTTCTATCTCAAGGGCAGACAGAAGAAATTTTAAAACCGTCTTCTCATGTTGCCTGGATCCAGCAACCAAGATAAGGGCTTTTTCCTTGTCCAAGGAGAGTGACCTGATTCCTCTTTGCAAGGGAAGGACTCACTCACTGGCCATATCTCCCTGGCACATGAAGGCGGAGGCCACCTGCCATCCTTTCTCTGCTCTGCCCGTCTTGGAGTAGCACACACTGGTGGTCTAGGTCCATGCCACTGGCTAAGGGAGAGCACCAGGCTGGACTTGGGGGACCTCTCACCACCTGCTCCATCTGCTGCCTGAGGCATGCTGGACTCAGCAGTCTGCCTGTGGGGTGGGAGTGGTTAGCCCTGGTCTAGCCTCAACCCCAAGCCTATCTTAGCTGGGCTCTGCATCAAATTAACACACAGGATAATTTGCTTCTCATTTGAAGGACTTTTGGTTTTGTTCCTCTAGTCAGTGCCCCAGTAAGCTTAGCCCATGCCTTGTCATGTGTATGCTTCAATAAATGAATGGACGAGAAAACCAAGGAATGAATCATGGTCTGGGGACCGCAGCACAAACTTGTGGACCGAGGGCTCCTGCGAATACCTGCTAGGGATGGCATCCTTCTCCTGTGTCGCCCCCCACCCCGGGTGGGGCAAGAACCAGACTTTTACAGAGTGCATTTGTCTAGTCTCTAACATGTTGTATAAAAAGGCAACAGGTGCATGTACGTGTGATTTAGTTCAGCTCCCTTACCCAGGAGACCACGGATGTCTTTCTCTCTCCAAAGGCCGTGCTGGAGGGAAGATCTGCTTGAGCTCCACCTTTCAATCTAGGCCTTGAACACCCAACAGGGGATGAACACTGCCCACAGCTTCACAGGGGGTTTGTGTGACAGCCAGGGACAGCCTGCTGAGACCCCCAGGAAGAAAAATCAATGGGTCCTACCAGGGGCATGGATTTCAAGCCTGGGAGAGCTTTGGGAGCACTGTAAGAGTCCCAGTCTGCATGAAAGACACTCGTAGGAGACTGGGTGTGGGGGAATCAGTGACTCAAGCCACCAGAGCAACGTGCACTGAACACTTACTGCAGGTGACACACGGGAAGACCACCCCACTGAGCAGGGTTTTATGATCAAACACGAGTGGCTTGGGAGTCGGCTAATTCTAAAATGTTTCATTTGCTCTACTTCACAATATAAGCAAAGTACATACGCACACTGTCATAATTTGTATCATTTTCCATTTGGGGGGAGGGGTGCTAATGTGGCGGGGTAGATATATTGACACTATTTCAATATAAAAACAACTAAATATCTTCCATATCTTCAACGAGTGGAATGAATGAATACAAATACTTCCTCATCTCCTGACCCATCCTTAAGAAAATGGAAATGCTTTTCAGTTGCTCTAGATGCCATTTATGGTTTACTAAACCATATTAATAACATTTGTAGATGAAAATGAAAACAGAATTAAGGAGAAAGAGCAGAAGGCGAGTCCCCTCCGTTTCAGGGGAGGAGGGTGTGGCCCCTGGGGATGAACAGCTGGGGCAGGCACCTGCCAGCAGCCTCAGGGGAGGCCACACGCCACGTGGGACAGCAGAGAATGTGACAAAACTTTTTGCTATTCTTTTTTATTCCAATATTTCCYGATATTCCAATATTTCTGATCAAGATGTCCCGTGCCATGCAGCTCAACAACGGTCACTGGTGGCTGCTGAGCCTCTGAAATGTGAGAAACTCAAGTTACAATTTTGTGGAATTTTAATGCATTTCCACTTGCATTCACCTAGCCAGAGAGACACATGCTTAGAGTGAGCCCCAGACCTACGTGTGCTGACCGTCGGATGGACTCTCCGAGTCTCCTTCAGGCCTCAGGACAATGTCTGTGTCTCCCCTCACTCATCTGTGGAGGGACCACAGAGTCCTTTCAGTTCCGGAACTCCTGCTCCTCCTTCCTTGTCACACCTGGACCTGGAACTCCCACGTGAGAGTGAGAACCTGAAGCCCACTGGAGCCTCTCTGACGGAGGCGGGAGAACACGCACACGAGCAACTCCCAGGATCTGTGTCAGCCGYGGAGCTCAGGAGGGCTGCCCGGCCTGTGGCCTGCGCTGGCTTCCCCCCCTTGCCAGGGCTTGATCTCTGGGCACTCCTCAATATTTCGCATACTCATTTCCATCTCAGAAGCTGCTTCCCAGGGTGCAGTGACATGTTTTTTACCTCTTAATACTTTACTTTAAACAAGGTCAGTGTTGGTTAAAATTCATTAAAATATCAGTTTGGGGGAAAAAAGCTCTTGGAACCCCAATTACAAGTTTTATATTGTCTCACATTGTAAGTAAATGCACCGGTAAGAATGGGAGCGCATGCATAATTAGAGTCTTAAAACACCCCATTTCTAACACTGTTATTTGTCACATCATAAGCACAGACAAAGATTCTCTGTGTTTATGGAAATGCAAATAGAGTCACAAATTTGGAACTTTTCTTCACAGGGAATTTGCTGTGCACCAGAATCTAAATGTGTTTCTTATTTTTAAAAGATATTTTCAGCACATTTAGTTTCAAGGATTCTTTTAAGTTGAAAAGTTAGAGAATTAAAGAATCAGCAATAAGAAAAAATACGAACATTGACAATCATATTAACACTGAAATACTTCGTAACACCAACACTCACGTGACCCACAGGTAAAACTCTCCTGACGTCATCGGAGGACTGCGCTCGGAGCCCCTGCCATTAGGTTCCCCACCATCCTGCAGTCCTGGGATGCTCTTTCTCTAGGAAGCGATGCTCATTCACATCAAACCATGCCTTATTCATCTGTGCTAAATGYATTTAGGGATGACTAATGGGAAAGTTGTAAGGACCAAAATATGTCCAATAAATTAGATAATGTGAGTCTAATGGTTTCCTGAACCCACAGAGAGAAATATAATCAACTACTTGAAAATTCAATTGTGGGATAGGCACAAAGGTACATATTAACATTTTAATGATGTTTCATGATTTTAACTTTGAAAGAGTCATGCAGTGGGAAGTTAGGAGTGAACAGGGAGGCAGTGATAGAGTTCACTTTGCTCCAGAATGCAAAAGCCTCAGGTTCTTCTGCCAGCAGACTCCCAGCCTTTGCTTGCATTGTGCCCTGGGCTGAGGTCTCATTACCTCCAGAGAAATCAAGCTGCACTCAGATAATCATAGTGTCTTTAATAAAATGCACATGCTGTGTTTTCAACTATCAAAGTTGCTCACATCAAGAAATGCAGACTGTGTGAGCTGTGTAGCAGATGTCAGGGCAAGACTTGGCTCTTAATCATTATTTTTTAGATTGAATCACAGACATTGCCAATATATGACCATTTTTGACCCTGAAAGAATGAACTCATATAATTGAACTTAACAGTTAATAATATGAAGTTAAATAMGAATGACAAGAATCACCCCCTGATTAGGTTAAGACTTGTTGTTACTTGTGAAGTAGAAGAATGAATGGATGAGGAAAATGGAATAAAATCAGAGATATTTTCTGAGAAAAAAATATAAAACAACCAACTTTTTAAACTTATCGGTGAATTTAGTCTGCTTCTTAAATAACAATATTCATGAAAATCATATACATTTCTCTTTCTCTAGGAGATTTCACTTTCTCTCATAATTTTAACTATTACCCCATTTAAATCTGCTCAATGAAATATTTTCTGAGCACCTATCAGGTGCCAAGCATAGCACTAAGGGATAGGCATGCAAAGGTAGATTGCAAAATTATCCATGACCATCTCATGAGGAAGAAAAATATATAAACAATTAAAATACCCTGAAGCCCATGAAGTTGAGGGATGTACACCCAGAGGTCTAAGCCCAGGGAAGGGGATGGGGAGCAGGATTAAAGCATCAAAGGAGGCTGAGGTGTGGTAAACATTTAAATTCCAGAAGATGGAGGCCAGGTAGGGGGTAGAGAGTGTTCTGGGGAGGGAGAGAAAAACACCTGCACAAAGATAGGAAAATAAATGAGCACAAAAACTAGCACAGGATGTTAGGCAGAGAACAGCGGGGCTGGGCCACAGTCGGATCTGCAGAGCCTCCCTGGGTGCTTAGAGCTGCCACGCGAGGGGCAGGGACCTTAGTGACATCGTTGCTCATCTCAGCTCAAGAGTAATGCTTTAATCTCACTCCTTATTTTCCTTAGGCAAGGTATGTGATGTTCACAAAAATACCAAGTCCCATGGAGTGACA